ATAAATAATTTATAAAACTACTTTCAACTTTATTACATTCAAATATTTTTTATTTTTTTCTAATTTTTTTTTTTATAAAAATACATCCAAATACAAAATAAAATTGTTTCTATTAAACTTTTGCTTCGACTACTGCTTTTGGAATCTCCTTATTTTTTTTTATGTCAATCCAAATCGATCGTAATAATCCTTGACAATATTATTATACTACTTCCATCCACTATCCATTTTGGCTGGTTTACGATCAATATTCATTTATTTTACTTATTGTATTTTCTATTTAAATAAAAAATCTCCCTTAAAAAAGAAAATTAGTTTAAGGATAAAAAAATATTTTTTACCTTTGCATTGTGCTATTTACTTATAAAATATTAATATTTGTTAATATATATTTTTTTTTTTTTTTTAAAAAATGTCCAAAACGATATATGAACACCTAAGGAATATTTCATTGTTAAGAGGAGAGCAAGTTTTCATTCAGCATTCAAAATGATTTTGGTCATTGATATTTGATTAGCAACATATATAAACACTGGTAGTATACAGTTAATAATATATAAATAAATATAAATAGAACGTGGATAATACTTAATCAACAATATATATAAATAGTACAGGGTTAATATTCATCCTAGGTACATAAGTAAAGCAATTTAGAATATTTAAACTAAAATACATAAATAAATACAAATAGCAAATCGATACTCAAGTAACAATATATATGGTTGTCAGCATAATGTTAACAACACATAATATACATACAACACATTAAATATCGACTGATAGCATGAGTATATATTAATACAGGGGAAGGGTTACGGTATTAAATTTGGAAAATCAGCACACATAAAATACAAAAATAATATACATTTTTATTACATACAATGTGTGCTGTTGTAATAAAATATGTGTTATTTGTTCATAATTACAGCGTGTGTTGTATGAGAGTACATCATGTGCTAAAAATTCAAGTATTGTATGTACTGTGTAAAATTATATCATGTGTTGTTAGATCATGTGTTATATTTATATTATATTAACGTATATTATGTGCTGTTTATTATAACGTCGTATATTGTCTGATAATACATGGTGTGCTATTCAACTTTACATTCAGCACTGTAGCCGCTGTAATTAATATAATATAAATACAGTATATGAATTAATTGCACATGACAATAATTCATACAAAATATACCATAATTGGTTACCACACCCATGCTATGCTACAATATATATACATCCTAGTGTCCGTTGGCGCGTTAGGCTGCGCCTAAAATTGGCAGGGCGATTTTTTTTTTTTAATCTGTACATTCGAAAATATAATAAAATACATTTAAACTATATAAATATTATTATCATAATTTATATACGTAACCGTGGTGGATGTGTCCTGGAACTGACTGCATGAGTATGTGTGGTGTGTTAGGTTATAAGTTATAAGTAGGTGTTAAAGAATTTTATATGATATGAATATGCATATCTTTCGTTAGTTTTTTATTTTTTATTTATTAAACCAAAAATAAAATATCATATCAACAGTTTATTGGTCTTTTATAGTTTTATATGTATCATTTTATGATGATTTCCATATACAGTGGTCCACTCTCGTAGCGCAAGCCATGAATCTTACTAAAAGCTTTATAATAGACACCCATTAATCCAGTTAATTTGTCAGCGAGAATCCAAATGATACTTTATATTCTCATTGGAAACTTATTCTCAGGGACACCACACAACAATTCCTTCGAACAACGCACATCGGTCCTCCGTTTTGGCGTACGGTCTAACCACATATGTTTAGGAGTATGCCATCGGTGATACCAATTACCAACCATCTCTTTTATCTTCTCTACATTAGTAATCCTAAAGATATGATCTATAGGTATCGGTGAATACAAAGACTAAGTTCATCCTTACATTCTAAACTGCTTGGCTGCAAGCCATCCACCTTTCAACAGCTTGCCCAACAGCGAAATTAATTCCCGGTCATTGGGTCCTTCATAGCATTAATTGCATATTTTCCTGCTGGTTTTCTCATATATAGAGCTTTACTATCGTAGCGCAAACTTTGGATCTTACTAAAAGTCTTAAAACAGACACCTTTTGGTCCGCTCAATTTTTCAGAGAAAATTGTTTTGGATTCGTTATATCCTCACTGCAATGTATTCTCAGGGACACCACGTAGCGACTCCACAGGGACAGAGCGCATCGGTCATCCCTGCTGAATTAGGGTGTACTCACATCTGGTCAAGTCCACACCATCGGTGCTACCAACGACCAGACATCTATTTTACCTTGTCCTCGTCAGTGATCGTAAACATTTGTTTTTCCGGCATCGGAGCTTCCCAACAGCACTTACATATGGCATTTCTTCTCTGCTCATTCCGAATATTTCTAGAGTAAGCCGTGTTGGGGGCGTTTTTATCCCCCATCTGAGGTGGTCGGCTGCTGGTTCCTGACCATCGGTTTAGACACGTGGGGTCTCGAGCAGGCCATCGGTGATACCAATGATCGGACATCCATTCTATTTTCTCTACATTAGTGATCCTAAAGACTTTATCTTTCGGCATCACTTATTACAATCACTATTTACATGGTATTATTCTAAAACGCCTTCATGCAAGGAACCCCCCCTCTCCACAGCATGTCCGACGGCGACTTTCCTTCACGATCAACGGGGTAAATTACAGTATTTATTGTTTCGTTTTCAGTTGATTTGCATGTATAGAGCTCCACTCTTGTAGTGGAAAGCTTGGATCTTACTCAAAATCTTATAACAGACACCCTTTGGTCGAGTTAATTTGCCACTGACACCTCTTATGATACTTTATATTCTCGTTGGTAATATATTCTCAGGTCCACCATGGAACCATCCTTTCCAAACAGTGCCCATCGGTCATCCTTTTCGTCCTAGGTTTAATCAGATCTGGTCAAGAGCACAACATCGGTGGTTTCCCCCAAAAAACACTAAACATTATCTTAATATCTTCTTGCATAGCAATCTATAAAAATACCCATCCACAGGTAAGGTTAGCAGGTTTAGGGTTGAAGATGGATGGGTTTTTTTTTTCAATTTAATTTATTTTAAAATAATTATTCCCTATTATTTTATTTATATAAAGTATAATAGCCTGAGTAGTTGATGTATACTTTAAGAAACATTTTTCTTCTTGAAGATTACAAAGTATTATTTTAAAAAAAAAAAATTTATTATATTTCTTAACTAACGCAGTAGTAGTAATAAATATTAATTGTTGGGGCGTTTGTAGTCACAAAATTATATAGTGCATTGTAGTTCAATTGTTTTATTCATGTATGAGGTTTTTCCTTTTATTTCTTAGCCTTTCCTCGGGCATCAAGATATAATTTTATAAATTCTTTTTTAAAATCTTTTGTATGTCATCCAAATTGAGTAAGTTAATAACTAATAATTTTCAAATTGAAACATGGTTGGCATGTACGAAAGCCAGTTCGGCGGTGTGTTGCTTTATGAGATAAGCGGTCGAAAGAAAGCCTTGGGGAGCGATGTGTAGCCAAACGACCGATTTCTTTAGAAATCGATTTGTATGGAGAACTATAACTATGTGTTTCAAGTTTCGTGGCGTATAACCAATCATGTTTTTTTGTTTGGGTAAATAACTATGAGGACGGACTGCAATCAAATTGGATGTCTTTGAATATTTGTTAGTTTATTCTCCATAAACTAAAAGATATGTTAATGGTGTATATGAAAGTCGTCGTTTGATAGTTATGGCGTGTGAATGACTATAGCATATGTATAACCGGTGTTGTAGATCCAGTGATGGAGTGGTGTTAACTATTCTCTTCTTTGTAATTTGTGGACTTACTATGTTACGTTCATGGCACGTGATTTTCCCAGATGCACATTACATCGTTTGGGAGGGGGGGCATCTGACATGCGTTGCTTAGGAAAATATAGGAGCCCATGTGTTCTGAAAAGCTGGGAGTCTTAGGCTGGTATTCCATTTGTACAACACGAAAGGCCTAATTACAAAAACATGTTCGTGGAAAACACTTATTTTTTAAAAGTGGCATGACAGAGGGGGAGGGTTAACATAGTCATAAAAAACGGTCACACGGTGCTGTGTTCTACTCTTCCCATTTGATTTAATCAAAATGGCAAAAGGTTGTGGCCTGTCAGCTCATCTCTTTCCTTTGGTTGTTGACGTGCGAATCTTCTTTGCAGGGTTTTTCGTTTGCACGTCAGGGCCTAAGCTTTCAGCTGGTGGTGCAGCGGCATTGGCCTCTAGCAGTGGGAGCAATTCCTTTCGTGCAGCTGCTAGGAGAAGTATCACGTGTAGAAGTCAGAGAGCATGTATATTTTTTGTACTTGGTATTCTTTGTAAAGAAAATTAGAGGTAATGATAGTATGTTTTACATGTTTGTGAGCCTTCTCCAATCTCAGCGGAGGTTTCCAGACCATCAAATACTGGTGTCAATGATGTCTTCATAACTCCCAAACCTACTTCCGTGGTTTCCTCTTGTGCTGAGCTTGTGGGATCTGTATTAGTTGTAATGTGAAAGACTCTTAAGAGGAGCACTTGCTCGGTTAAAATGTGGATTTTACGTAGGTGAACAACTCAATCTATAATTAGAACATTCTTTGGAAAACTCATTATTTTCTCATTACTTGATCTTATGTAATCGAAAATAATGAATCGTTTAGTTACCTGTCACTGGTGTTTGAACAACATTAATGGTGTAGCTGAAATTACTAAATTTTGCAGAAGTCGACTATTTCTTCTTCACGGAAAACATGAATCTGCTTTCTTTGATACTGTCATTGCGCTCTGTGTAGTACTTGAGGATAGGCTACGAGATGTGTTGATTACAATTATTGTTTCGTTAACACTGATTAATGACGTATGCGATCATGGGAAGTAGTTGCTACTTTCTGGCGTGAATGGTCTTTTATTCATTTTGCATGATGGCAAATGCAGGTGGCTTGGGAAAAATAGATTACATACAAGGACGCTGATGTTAAATCAGGTATAAAATGAAGAGTGCTACAGAGCATGGATATTGTGCTGAGTAATTGCTTACGTGGTTGCCTTTGCTTTCAAGTGATGCTGCGTCGCAATCGAGCAGATCGTACGCAACATCTTCGTATGCAACGCAGTTAATCTTTCCAGTATCGTCGATGAGGTCTAAGCTGACCATGTACCTGAAAGTATTTTGTTGTTATTGGAGTGAGCACAAACATTGTAATACAACGCACATTTTCCTACTGACCTAGGTGTAGAGATTTGGACAATTGCGCAGCGGAAGCAGTGAAACGGTCAAGTATAGGCGTTATTGTTGCACAGTGGCAATTTGAGGAGGCACTGTATGAGAGCTTGATTTGAGGAGAAATGCATATTTGAAAGCCTGCGACGAGGCTGTGCTCTCCTTGCTGAAATAAAGAATGGCATTATTAAGGATTATGTAGATAACAATGTGAGAGTTTAAAAATTATCCATGCTTTAAAGGTCGAACCTTTGCATCTTTGAGTTCTTTGATTGATTGTAATGAACACGGAGATGTGGGTAGCCCACTTTTGTCGTTGGACAAGACTAAATGCTTAATCAGGTCATCTATCTGTGCACTATTTTCTCTTTTCCTACAAATAGTAGAAATCATTCTAGCTTGGTTGCGACTGAAGTGTGTCAAAAAAGCTTTGGTGTATTGTTACCAGTTATCAAGATCACGGGCTACTGCATAGGGAGGGTCAATAAGAATGTTTGACATAGTTGAAGCCGACAACGATATTCCTGTTTAATAGAGAGAGTACGCTGTGAGGCAACGGTAATGAAGTATGTTTCCAGGAGCACCTAGTTAATATAGAAGGCATAAAGAGTGCATCGGATAACCTTGCAACATTGTGACCCGGATGCTCTTTGCCAAAATAACTGGCCTCTCTTAGAGAAGCGTTGCAAGCAGGCCACCTTCCGCTCCCACCAGGTCATTCCACAAAGTTAGTTTAGTGGCAAGTTTCCTATAGGGACCCCACCTATGTTTTGTATAGCAGATCCAAATGCAGCGTATTAATAGATACAATAATAAGCATATTTAATTTACTCTTCCGTCACTATGATAATCTCCCGTAGTTTGTTAGGGCCCTTTTGTTGTGTGCTGGTAACATCGATCACGACTCCGAGTATGTCTACAGTGTGCATTTCAGAGATGATAGGCAGCAGTTAATGCATGTACAATTGCAAAGGGAGTCTATATGAAATGATGTAGTAATATAAGGAAACGTGTCCCGCTCCAAATTTGGGTTGGGTGGCCATTTTTACCTATTAGTTGCTTGCCCTCCAGATGCTTTGACAAAGTAGCATAGCGGGAAAACTCTGGTCGACCCACGAACATGCTGATCGGGTTTTGACATTTTTACCTATTGGTTGGTTTTGACATTGCTCCGAAGATTTCGTAGGTCTCAAACAGATGGAGGCATCCATCTAGCTTCACAATGTCATGGTGGAACGCGCAGGCTTGTAGCTTTGTGCCCTGTATATTATGCCGTGGTGGTTTGCAATTAAAGAGGAAATAGAAAACGGTAAGGTACTGTTCTGTAACCTAAGACAATATTCTTAACTACAATGCATAAAACACAACATGTTGTAATCAATGGTAGGAAAATGTGTTGGTGCATCGGATTTATGTCGGCCCCTTTCGGGGCTTCTGTGTGCATCGGTATAATGCAGGGCATTGTATCCAAGTAAGGCCGATGGATCACCTGCGCATTTATGAAGACGTAGCGCTTGTAGTTGTGCCCGGTTTTGGTTGAAGTTCTTTCAACAAAATGCTCCAACAACATGACACGTATTGTTCAATTTCGTAGATGAGGAGTAAGGTCTACAACTGTGGTATAGTGGTAAGTTCCTCCATCCTTACTTGGTTGTGGTTCCATCGTTAAGCCAGTTCTGCGATGGCAATGCAAGTGTATTATGACGCCCTCTTTAAATAGAGTGTGCTACGTAGCGGTTCATTGTAGAACAACACTAACGTTGTACACAGGGGTCACGTCGCTGCACATCATTGACAGGAGTGGATTAGTAGGTGATGAACTTTGATATTATATTTTATATGATATATATTTATATTTTTGTATATATATATAATATACATATATATAAAATATATTTTAGCAAAATAGCTTAAAAAAAAACATATACAAAAAGATTTTTAGATATATATGTACAGATATGTAAATATCATTATATGTATGTATATATATTTTAGCAAAATAGTTTTAAAAAAATAGAACATATACAAAAAGATTTTTAGATATATGTACAAATATGTGAATATCATTATATGTATGTAAAAATTTATATGTAAAAATATGCAAATATAGTAGGCAGGGAAATAAAAAAATTGACTATAAATATAAATAACTAAAAATAATATATTAAAATTAAAATATATGTATGTAAATAATATATTAAAATTAAAATATATGTACGTAAATGTATAAAATATAAAAAAATAAATATTGAATATAAATATAAATAAAATATATATATGATATATATCTATAACATGTGTATATATATAGATATAGATATAGAAATAGATATATATTTAATATTAAGTAACGTAATGATGTCGGGTGGTTTATATAAGAAGATCAAATCTTATAATATTTTTTAAAATATACATACAAACACTAGACAAAAAAAGGGCGATCGGTCATCGAAATGTAATATGATTTCCCTAAAGGTGGACTCTTTTAAAACTTTTACGTTTAAAGGGAACATGGTGTTGGCCATCGGTCACATAAACCAATAACAAAGATGATGTTGCTAAAGGACCTTAGGTCGGTCATTGTGTAGGATTTAGGGAACTGTGGAGCAGGTGGTACTCTAATCGGTTGTTGATTGACAATGGAGGGAACAGACCTTTAGCGTGTAAAGTTTGACTTCTAGCGCCGCAGTCGTCTGTGCTCCGTCCATTTGGGTTGTACGGTGTGCTCAAGCGTTTTGATTACTTTTCCACGCAAACTCACGATGAGGAGAGGATTGACCCAGAATCCAATGCCTGATAGTTGGGATGGTGGGTGGCTGTAAGTAAGTGCACCATCAGCGTGTGACGGGTCTCAATGATTTCGACGGGAGTAGGTCAGCAGGCTTCGAAGTCCGTACCCGCTTAGGATTGCATGAGGACCGATGGATCTTGCCCAAGGCCCCAACGAAACCGAATGTCTTACTCTCGGACTCGTTGTCGGATTCCGGAACTCGTTCGGGGGCCGCCTGGTGGCGGCGGTGGGATTAAGCTCAACATCTGATTGCACGATGGTCGTTGTTGGGTGACGGTGACGTGGTGTAGATGGGTGTCATTATTGATATGCAACCCTGGTGCAGTTTTCTGTTGCACATAATGCTTTAGCATTGTGACACACAATCAAAGGTGTTGTATTGTGGACCATTACTGTTTAGATATTAACTCATTATTCCTCACTAAAGAACGTTCGAGCAAGCAAAGGTTTGATTTGTAGGACATTTACCGGTACACATTGAAGGTTGGTGTCTGAGTTTGTAATGTAAATAGGGAGGGGTTTGTGCTGAGAGCGGTATGCTTCCTAGGGTAGATTATAGCAAGCTGTGTTTTTTCTCCCTTCTTGGGTTTAACAATGTATCGGGTTATTAGTTCATGGTGGTAAATGTGCTGAGACAGTGTGCGTATAATGCTGTAATTATTTTAAAGAATTACAGATTGATTGTAATTATATATTGTATTCATTGGAAAAAATCATAACAATCTTAATAACGACTTACTGTATAATAAGTATCAAGAAACAAGAAATATTATATCTACATTTCAAACATAGTATTTTTTAATTTTTTTGTAGAGTTACATATATTGAAAGCAATATTAACACTTAGCTAAACTTAGATTCGTAAACATTTTTCCCAGTGTATATTTTGGTGCACGGTTTAATTTTAACAATATAATGTCAGTATCAGTATGTATTGAATTTAGCCTAGTATTGTTGCATTCTACCAACGAGCAATCGTTGTTCAATGAAATGTAATGAGAAGAATGATGAAAATTAGCCGAAACGTTGTTCTATGTGTGTCACAAAAGGTGTGTTCTTGAGCCGGCCTTTCCAAAAACTTTGAAGGAACAAACGCGTGATTAATATTACAGTAGGTGTGTAAATTGAGATTGTATTTTATAAGTGGTACTGCCTGATGTGTACGCTGGTTCACCCGGTAGATTGTAAGCATGGTGCAAAGACGCAGAGTAGCCGTAAAGAATTTGCAATAAAAAATCATGCATACCCTTCCGACAACAGCTGCCGGGCCAACCATTTGCAGTGCAGTAGCATGGAAGCATACCTTTACTCAAACTATAACGACTATCATAACTGTATGGAAAATAGAGTTTGAATCATATGTCAAAGCAGTTGTCACACATTTGCTACACATCTACAACTTGATACCAGACAGGCAAAGAAGCTCGGAGTAGGCAATATTTTTTTTCCACTCAAACCGTTGTGCCTGCCAACACTAACGATTGGAAAACTATATGTAACAAGCTGAATGATTTTGCGCATGAAAAAGCGACGTACAATACCCCATGCATGAATACGGGGTCCAGCAGGTAAACGCCGACATGCTCCAAAGTTTGCCCCTGTGATTTCTTAATAGTCATGGCAAAACACAGCTTTATTGGGAACTGTGTCCTCGTAAAATCTATTTCGGACGGCTTGAAGTTCTTCGGCTCTAACGGGAGACGAGGAATGAAGCATGTTTCACCAGAAAAAAGACCTGTAATGATTTCAGCTTCGAGAATATTTTGTGAAATGGTCTTTCATATCAAACGGGTGCCATTTGATAAGCCATTTGATGGTTTGAGGTTTCGTAGAAGCATGATGGGCGCTCCTCTTTTTAGATTTAAAGAATGTGGAGGCATCCCGTTTGGTGTTAATGTAGAAAGGTAGTCTTCGTAATGTGCCTATTGAGTTGGATCTTTAGTAATATCGCGGCCAATAGAAGTAAGTGAGTCTTCAGGAAGCTTGGGTAAAAAAATATTGTTGATTTGATATACCATTTCATTGGTTGTAGTTAGAATTGAACGACTGACAAAGAAAGCTGAATTGGTAGAGTCTATTTTGTTCAGTGGATATATTATGTTAATCAAGCCCTGTATATTGGAACAGTTAAAGGGCAATAGGCAGGGGGCAGGTAACTTCACATCTCCGTTGTCATTTTTTAAGCAGGTGTTGTTGCCGATTGATTCGACAGAAGTTGCGAATTGTGGGTCTTCTTTTGCTCGCATGTTAAATTTAATGTGGAACTTCGTTGCCTTCCTAAATAAATGCGATGATACTGGGCTTGCTTCCATAAACATTTCTTTTGTTCCATTTGGTATCATTGGAGTTATCTGTTGAAAATCGCCCCCAAATATAACAAATATCCTGCCAAAATCATCACCTGAATCACATATATCTTGTAATGTGTTATCCAGAGCTTCTATAAGTTCACGTCTTGCCATTGAAATCTCATCCCAAATAATAAGCGATGCTTGTCTTAATTGTTTGGCTAGATTATATGTTTTGAAATATTGCAAGAAATGTTCTCAGGCAGTTCTAGAGGGAGTTTAAATTTTGAGTGTGCAGTTTGTCCATTAGGCAACAATGATGCAGCAACTCCAGAGGTGGCAACTGGAATAGCAACAATGTTACCCAATGCAGCATAGCGAAGAATTGTTTTGCATAGGTATGTCTTGCCACTACCTGCAGGTCCATCACTAAAGCATACGAATCCAGATTTGGAACTGAGTTTTTCGGTAATTAACTAAAAAATTCTCCTTTGTTCTTCGTTCAAGCTGTCGGGAGATGGGAGATTGTGGAATAGTTGTAAGTCGTGAGATTTATCTTCTTCATTCATTGTCTCTCCCGATGTTGCATCTGCCACATGTGTGACTAATTCCGTAGTCTGTTAGGTGTGTGCTTAGAGCTTGCAAAAAATTATTTACATTTGCTGCAGCCATTGTTTCTAAACAGGCGGCCGGTGTTCCACTTAAGACATTGGTTTGAGTTGTACAAAATATATGGAATTTATTCCACAGTACTTGCGGTTCTGTGGGGCTGCAGAAAATTAATATTGTAGCGAATAGTTGTGCAAATGCTTTAGGTAGCTGGAACTGAGACGCTTCTTGTAGAGAATCTATAATTCCAAGGTCTGGGTCAAGTAATCCTAAACCAACACATGTTGACCAGAAAGTTTCATGAATAGTCCCATTAATTGTTGCAAGATCTTCAAATGAGGTGAGACAACATCGGTATTGGAGTAGCATACGAAGGTAATACTTTCTTTCTCAGAAGGGCATATTGTTACAATCCTTCCGATGGTCAAACCTCTCTGTCTTTCATGCCATTTCCGTGCAGACTGATCCCAGACAAAGTGTTGGGGGAACTCCCGATATAGTAGTTAGAGTTTTTTGGCAGTCGAATTATGAGTATTCATTTTAAAAATTTTTGTCAACATGGTGAACCTTGGTAGTGAAGAGTCTACAATGTTTGTTATGGGATCTTCTGCACGAAATGTTGTGTATTGATAATTAGGGTGCGTAGTTGAAGAGCAAGGACTGGAGGATGTATCTCATTTAGTGAATAGTTGAATATTCGCCAACATGCTTCAGGGGGAGCAACCCATCTACCTGTTTGGAACGCTGAAATTTCATCGACCTGTTCAGAGCAACCTACCGAATATGCTATTCGATCATGACCTTTGTAAATATATTTATATAAGTATTTGACCAGTTTAATAGTCAAACAAATTTCAACATTTATATGACAATCATCTTTACTTGTCAAGTAAGGGTTGTATGGGACGACCCATCGGTTATCCAAAATTTTTCCTCTTGCATGTGCAGTTGCACTATTATTTCGTCTTTTGTATAAAGGAAAGCCATTGGGATTATGCGTTGTTTCACTGTGGAAATCTTTTGGGTAATGATTTTTGCATTTTCCATTGGCCATACAAACATTGTCTACATTCATTTAACCACAAGACCCATAGAGCATATGTTTGCAGACTAAAATATATATATAGGTATCTTTCTGTTCATTAGGCAATTCAATTGAGATATAGAAGTCATACTATTCAGGCCCTTTTAGTTTTGATTGTTGGTGAATAGTTAGTAGGATGTGTATATGTAGAAGGCCTCTTTTTTAAAATTCAATAACATAAGAGTATGCTTGCACATGGCCAAGAATATGTTTTTTTAGTAAGTCGTGTTTAAGTTCTTCAATCTTCATACGGAATATGCGTGTGACTATATTAGGTCGATTGGTTGTGTTTTCTGAAGTAGACAGATGCGCTACGATTTTTTGCCATTGCGGATTGCATATTATAGTAATAAAGAAATCGAGTTTCCCAAATTGTTGAACAAGTGCCATGGCATCTATGTATCTTTGCTGCATGTTGCATGGACCACCTATAAATGATGAAGGTAACATGATAGGTTTTCCAACCATAGAAAGATTTTGTTCGTTTTCGTTATAATAAGCATCTAGAACTCCTTGGAGAGTTTTTTTATGGATGTTTTTCTATGCTTGCTCCACTCTGAAAAAATCAAGTCTTTGAGTTTCAATTTTGATATATTGGTCAACAATATATTTCTGTAAGAGACGACCATTGTGTAGAAGTACTCCTGGGCAATGCGGGCGGATCTGTAGACGGTAACAATAGTATTCCCTCATGGACACGTGGTTTTTGTCCATTGTCCTTTTTTTAGGTGCTGTCACATGGAATCCATACACATGTTTAACTTTATTGACTGGAACTGATTGGACAGATGTAATGGAAAAACAAAACATCTGCTATGCAATTACTTACGTTTGATTTGTGTTTGTCTGCTCATGACACTATTGTAAAAAGCAGATGCAGATTCATCAACGATTGGTTCTGAACAACTCCTTTGTTTAATGATGTCTTAATGCCATCCCGGCTGCCTATATGAATGAATCAAGGGATATTGCACAGGATCATACGCAAAAAAAAAGTATGAGACCTTTTTAACACTCCTTTGAAAGGGATATACTTGTATATCACGATGGATATCTGGTGTCTGGCCCCGCCCTTCTTCCCAAATAAGAGCAATGTCATTAACTATCGGGTGATTAAAAACTCTCTGATCTAGACATTCTTTTGTACTCAGGTAGATTCGGTAATTACGTAAACAATTCATCGTATACAACTGTCTAAAAAAACAAGCATATGGGTTTAGTTGTGTAAGAGACATCAGTAGAGCAATTAGAGATGAATCTAAATTTAGGTAGTTTTCTATACGCACACGCAGCTCATCTGTCGAGTCTTGATAATATAGTTGTAATTGACGAGGTTTTTCCAAATCAGATTTTAGTGGGTTGATGTAATGATGCATTGTGCCATTGACACGGAAAGCATACAAGTTCTGTTCATTACTGCAAAGTGAAACATCGTACTTTACGCCGTGCGTCTAAAAGGCAAATGAATTATTGTACGTTCTAATAAAGGTTGTAAAATGGCTAGACAATGGATGGTTGAACGTAAGAAGATCTTTGGGACTTCAGGCATTTCCAAGGGCGCTAAAGAGAAGCTGCCACGAGCACAACAGAATGAACCTGTTTCACGATAAAAAATTATGGCTCCGCAATGGGGGCAAGGCGGAACGGATGGAGGTTTCCATGGCTCCACACATGTGGGGAATTCTGGGCACCGTTTGTGATCTGTCTTTGCAGCGCTGGAGACATCTTCGAACGCTTTGTAGCTCATTTCCACGTGGCATTGGCGTAAGACAGTAAGTTGAGTGTAGTATTCCTGCGAGAGCAAATTGTAACATATTAATTGTAGATGGAAGCTACCCAAATCAACATAATTCAGAAACTGAAAAAAAGCCTAATAGAACAGCCAGCGTGGATAGCAAAATTAGTTTTGCGAGACGAATTTATTTCAAAGTAAACAACATGGCTTGTTGAACATACATCGCTGCTTTACATAGGAAACATGAAAGGACGCGGCAGATGAGTATTTAGCAATCATAGGCTTTACACAGGCCACGTGTAATAATAGGTGTGCTATACATCTTGTTCGATGTATCTTTTGTTAAAAAACATGTCTATGATAGTCAATTTAAGTATGCCTTATCCCTTTACACTAATACCCGCAGTGTACATATAAAATGGACAATGAATACTCATGTCCGCTCTCACAACCACACAGACTATGTCTTTCGATGCGCGGCCTTTGGTCGATGGAAGAATTTACAGACAGAACAGCTAACCAGGAGGAAATAATTTCTGCCTACCGAGTCCAACGCATACCACCGCTTCTCGAAACCTCTTGTCTTATGGAAGCTGCCGCGTCCCTATGCTATGACAACGCTACTGACCATAGCAAAGTAATGGCTTAGCATAGTTGAATGATGTTACACGCCGCCGCGGCTACCTGCGTCCGCGCGTACCAAACCCGATGTGTTGGTACTTTGGGGGCAACGAGAAAAATTCAGGAAATAGGAAATCATTGTCGAATAGAGCTCCGAAAGATGGACCACACGCTGTAAGATGGTGGGGCCTCCCCGGTGTTTGGATAAAAGGGAGGTAACCCTAAATATAGAAGAGAGTGGGTACCCGCCAAATGTAAACACGCACAATTTTGGTTATTACGCCGCTCGGCACAACGAGGGGCCCTGCGACGACGGTGTCCTGTCGATTGAACCGCTTGGTTTGTTAGGGAAACGATCGATTGATATGCCGGTGAAATAGGGGCGAGCAGAGGATGGAAGGAAGACGGGAGGCTTGTAGGTTTTCCCGCATGTGGTCAGCGGAAATAGGTAACCTTCATCTGACAACCATTTAAATTAATAGTTGATGTACCCATCAGCTGCTCTCCAAAGGAAAAAAAAAAATATCAAAGACATATATATATATACCATTATAATATGTTAAATAATTCCAACACTCGTCACTCTGGATTTGTTACTTTTTTTCAATATGCAAGTGACGACGCACAAGGAGGATAACACTTATGTTGCGTACTTTATGTGGCCCAAGTTTGTAATGTAATTAATCCTTCTCTTTAATATAAAATATATACAGTAATACAGACAGTACTCAAAGAAAATAATAATTAGTAAAGGTTTATTCTTCCCCAAAATTCTTTACGCATGGTATAAATATTACGTCGAAAATATTAATCAACTATATATGTAACAAATGAGATTAATCGAACATATTATTGACAATAACTCGACCGATCATTAAAAAAATTATATATTTTTTTTATATATCTTGTTTCCGACGTATGCCCTCCATTTGCGTACATACACACATTCTATGCAGCTATTTGCATACATATGTACATACTGTATGATATATGAGATTGTCAGGATTATGGATAATATATAAAAAAGGAAAAAGCCCTAATATCTTCTTGTGTAGGTGATTCACTAAGCGGTTTCAGATACTCGCCATATTCGGATACTCACCCAGCGCTGATCCAATGTATTTCTAAATTGGTGATTTCCAATACTCCCCCATCGGTGATCCCAAATACGACCACATGGATTAACCTGACCGGCATATGTATGAACTTAACTGGTGACCCTGCGGACCACTCTGTTTAAATATATGGCATTCCTTTACTCCGTGACAAAAAGATTTTGCAGAATATACCAATAATCTTGCCTCTGAACTCGTTTGGAAAAAATCTCTCATTTTTTTTTTTGTCTTGCTTACAGAAAATATTATAAATTTATTTTATAAGAAATGATATACATATTGATATATTATTTGAAAAAGTAAACGTGCAAATATTCCAAATGCAACATACCAACTAAAGAAAAATTTTCTTTTGAAATGTAAAGGAAAACTGTTGTTTCAAGTTGTTCGAAAAATGGAAGGTTTTTTTTTTTATGACCTTTGTTAATAGGGGGTAAAGACCTCAACTGTTCAAGACCATGGAATTTACCTATACGTACGAAGATTAGTCTTTCTTTACAAATTTAGACAAATAAAGCACAACGGATGTTAATAACATCCACAAATAAACTTTTATGAAATATGTACTTTGCCCAATAATTTCTTCGTGTATATTAAAGAAATAATATTTCATTATATTATGATATTAAGTATGTGAAATTAACATTAATGGAACATAACCTCGAAACTAATTTGACCGATGGGGAACCACCAACAAAGATACAAGCATTTTGATGACACATGACGTGTTTTGCGGAATCTTTATCACCCGCAAACAGTCTCCGCCTGGAGTTTCCGAATGCTTCTCCTAACAACCTATGCATCAACATAAACATAGACGTAGAGATTCAAAATCCATCAACGGACCATTCAAGGTAGGCTTGAGCTTTCATCTTCACGAGAAGTATGCTCCAATGTATACATATCGGTGATTGTGTATGCATGGCATTCTTAGCCCCACACATTGACCAGGTGCTTGAACACAGGTCACAGTATTACAATAAAAAAACATGACTGTGAACGATAATGCTACGAAGAAAATAAGAAATGAACAATTTCTCATAGATGCAGTACAAGGTAAGTTGCGGTACAAATATGTGGGATGCAACAGAAATATGCATGTTGATGAACATTCATTGAGCAGTTGGTAGCCCAATACTAATATTTTATATGGGGTTGAGTAAATAGGATTGATGGCCTCATACCACCGATGCCAAAAAATTAGGATTGGCGACACAGTGTTTGGAATCATCCACGTAGGCACAAATGTAATTCGCAACAGAGACAAGTGTTGAGATCAGCGGCAACTGTGGCACCACGTGTACGTAATGGTCTCAAACTTACACCCTCGAGTCACAAGCAACAGACTCACCGATACACATATGACGGACGATCTCCGTTTGAGAATCGGAAGTATGACCGATGAAGATGCTAACGGTATGTATTTGCAAAAGATCACTTCTGGAGAAGGTTTATGAGGACCGATGGAGAAATCTATTGGGCTAAAAGGGTTAACCTATAGATAATAGTAAGACCCACTGATTGAGAAGCTCATCACCCATAGAGAAAGCGGATGTCCAAGGAATAAAATGAAGTTGACTAACAACAAAGAGTTACCGATGGAGGGGACAAGTGATGACTATTAGAGAAGTCGGTGTATTGTCTATTAGGAAACACTGCCAATGAAGAAGGGGGAGGGGAACCGATGGGAATTCCACGTAAAGGTGATCAAGTTTCTCTTTAATTAATCCTAGGTAGTGTGTTGAGATTGATCATTATTTTTATTGTTGTACTCTATTTGGACTTGGTGTTTACGGTGTGGGATCAAAGGTTGCAGAGTAATAATAATAATAATAAAGTGTGTTGTTTTGTTGTGTTGGGAGTTCATTGTAGTTCAAGATAATGAGAAAATTAGGGCAAATGACAACTTGTTGGTCCTATCTATATCCTTGAGTTGAGTCGGAAGCAACAGAAATTTGTATGTCGATAAAGAGGCATGGCTATATGGGTGCCCAGGTACAAATGTCTTATAGGGGGTGAGCAAATTGGATTGATGACCTCGTATCACACATGCCGAAAAGTTAGAATTGGCGACGTAGTGTTTGGAATCATCGGTGTAAGCACAAAATAAATTCGCCGATGAGGTAATCGTTGAGATAACCGAACATTGATGCGAGACGCGGACATAATGACCTCAAACCTAAACTCTCAAATCACAAGAAATGGAATCAGCGATACACACATGGTTGGCCATAACCGATGGAGAACGCGATTGGTCACCGGTGAGAAAGTTGGTAGTCTGTAGCTGCTTTAGAAAGGTGTTCAAGTTTACCGAGGACCGACAAAGGAATCGGTCGGGCTGAAATGGATCACTTATGGATAATGGTAAGAGCCACTGATTGAGAGGTCCATAACCCATGGAAAAGGTGGAGCACCACAATATAAAATTAATATTATATTGTAGCAAAACGCTACCAATGGTGAGGAGAAGTGATCAACAAACGAGAACGATGGCCTTAGAATTTTGGAGCGAATCTTGGTGGCTACTACAGTGTATATAAATTTCAGTTGAAAGTAACTGTCTATTGCAAACAGCAAGCACCAAGCCTGGAACGATTCCCGACGAATAAAAAAGGGCCCATGGTGCACTCACCACAACAACATGAAAATGAGGTTACTGGTAAATGGCATCTCTATTTCTTTTGCAAATGACACGTGTTAAGTGAACATGAGAAGCACGACAAAAAACATGCGCTCACCGGTTACATGGTTAATCGAGCTACGCATTGTAGGCCAATTCATATACACTTACTTACAAAACAGTTATGGTTAATGGGAAAGGTTGGTATGATGTACAGTGGATATGGGAAAACACAATACGTCATGATTTTAACAATTTGCCAATCACTTTCTTAATGTTAAACCATGTAACCTTGAGAGATTCGGTTCGTTCTCTGACAACCTTAAGAGTGGCTACTCTCATTTCATGCAATTCTTGTGCCACCTTCACCTCCTCTTCAAGCGCAGACTTCGAATTCCGAAGGCTTCCGATAGTAGATTTCGCTATTGTCTCTTCAGTCTGAAGTCCCTCATATTCCCTCCAGAATTTTTGTAATTCCTCTTGCTTCTTTTGTAGCTCTTCTTGAAGCCAACGAATAGCTTTATTATGAGTATCTATCTCGCCTACTACCCTGTCTTTTTCGGCCTAAATATGAAAGAGATAATTTTTAGCGACACTCACTTGCTCATTTGTAACGGCGAGTGTATCCAGGAGTTCGTGTGGTTCTGTACTATCCAAGGTTGATGATAGGAATTCGACGGCTTGCAGGTAGTGGCTGACATCAATCTTTAGGCCAAGTAGGCTGCGAAAAATTTTCCGAATAAGTTCACTCAACGTACTGTGTGGTAGGAATTTTTGGACAACTGTAGGAATGATGAACTCAGGCTTTCTAGATGAACCATAGTTAGGTCTTCAATCATAAGCGAACTTGTCGCCGCAAGCGACTCGTTGATTGACCTTGGTAAATTTAGCGCATCTATGCCATCCTGAACCAAAGATGTCCTCATTATCATTTATGTGATGAAGGTTTGATGCAGTAACGGTTTTGCAGAAGGAGTTTCTAGCTAAGGAAACAATTTTGGATGTGTTCTTATGAGGCATTACATATGTAATGCTATAATTGCCATTGCACGTGAGCCAAACAAAAAAAAACTCACCGTTTCAAACTCGACTACCCTTCCTGCGTGCCCCGAAACATTCACAGCTTGCAGTCCCCCAGATTGTACACTTGAACTGCCACTTATCTTATCCTTGTCAGCAACTACAATTCCCGAGCCTATGTCTCCCATATGCTTACTCTGAATAGCTTGTATGCAAACATAGCCCGTTTGCGTGTGTAACATTTAAGAACATCCGTGCAATTTTAACTGAAAATGATATGTTAATTAAAAAATCTCGCTCTATGACTATGGTTACCTCTTTTTCTGTCTCAGGTATAAGGTTATTCAAGGAATCGAAACTTGACACTTGTTCACTTGGGGGGGATATGGGCTTCATGTAGGCCAGGAATCAGCGTTCCAAGACATTCAATGGGCAAATCTGCAGCGGCCAAACTCGGTAAGTCCTATAGCGATATATAGATGTCAGCAGTCGGTCACACAGCTATAACCACAACTCCATACCAACGAACATTCGCAATGTACTATTGTCTAGACATTGCAGTTGGCTATGTGTCGATACCTCTGCAATAGATTGGCCGTCGTTCTTAATGGAACAAGGGGTTGGCTCAGGCTGAACAGACAATGCAAGGTCATGAGATGCAAGTTCCACCGCGGGGTCTTTGAGTGGCTCCGCTTGCACATGAGAATTAGCTGTTATTGGTGAACACTAGAAGAAGCACACTTCTGTTTATTAGCATCCCAGAAAGGATATCCTTAAGTATATGAGGGAGAAACCTTCTCACAAACTGATCGGCCAAAGCTGAAATATTTCTTTAGGGTTACCTCCAAAATGTGGGTATATGTTGCAGTAGAAACAACATGCACCGGGTTCTCTTGTTCACCCAATGGTCTTGGACTGTGCTGGGGCAGGTTATCAGCGGACGCTTCATCGGGCTCATGTTGTTTGGATTGCCTCATTGTCGCTGGTAAAGACTGTAAGGACACAAAACGATTAAGTTTACAACACGCAAGGAGAATGGCGAATTTTCCCACGCTACGCCTTACGGAGCAACCATCTGTTGATTGTAAATAACTTACTGCTTACCTCCGTTCCTGGTTTATCTAGGGCAGTGGCAACATTGGCGAGTGGTTGAAATTGCTCAGACGTCGTGGCCACCATAGCTTTTTTGGGAATTAGAATGTGCATCATTCTCAACAGCCATACTGGAGGTCTCGGTAAATGGTGCCTGTGGAAACGGTATCGAGATGATTTTAAACATTATTATCAAATAAAGATGTTGAAATGTGCTTCTCTGTGTTAAGTCAAATTAATTTTAGCATGACCGCTGTAAGACGACTATATGCTTTACTTATATTGTAATCGTTGCCCTTGTATTGGCAAAAGCATTGAAGGATGACAAGGACCCATAATTTGATGCTTAGCTATCTGAAGGGTGTATACTACAGATGCTGGAGAGAATTGCGGTTGCTTCATAGATAGGTTCGATAATCGATGAGTATTTAAAAAATAGTTGAATAAACTATGTTGTGGATTATCATAGAACGGTTTGACGAATGAGCTCTTATCTGGAGATAGAGGTAGTCATATAAGTTGGACTCCCACTACATTTTTATGAGTAAGCCTAAAAAATTGGGCTATCCTACTTGATTCAAATAAGATAATTTTCTTTCCATAAACAGGTAAACCAGTACCTGATGTTCTGAAGTGGAGCAAGTAAAGGCCGCAGTGGCTTGAAATGCCTCCTTTGATGGTGAATTGCATGTTTCCTATAACAAAAAAAGATGACCGATTAATAGCAGGATTGTTTTACATACATATATTTCTATTACAACAATATTGCCCCCTGGATCGATGGAAAACAACCAACAACTGATGAACTCTGACCAAGCCCCACAAGTTAAATGCCGCAGGCATACTTGAACAACTTGGGCTGACGTGGTTAATAACTCACATGTTAACCAACAGCTTGCATCCCTAACTCCTTGTATCCTCAGTACCAAATATTGTAGCTGAAATACGTGTCCACTTGGCAATCGAAGATTGAACGTTGAAAAGGGGCTTGCCAGTGTACGATCAACGGTGACATTCGAAAGTTGTGCAGCATTAGAACTTACAATCCCCATGTCCCGTATTTTAAGCTCTTAAGGAAGACAGTAAATTGGAATTACCTCCATCTCCCTTGCAGGCAGCACTTGTTTGGTTGCACATGCTCCGGGACTGCTAACACCCGTGTTGCTGGTTTGAACACCGAGCTCTTCTGCAGCCATGTCTGTTGGATTTCTTTGAGATGGCTCAACAGCAACCGTCTTTCCCCCCTAATGGAAAGAGACCAAAGTACATCACCTCCACCAATTCACTGCACATATCTGGCGGTGTTTTCAAAAAACATTCAACTGGTTATGGGAAATGAATGTCAACGGACCTTTAGTAAAAAGGACCAGGCAGGCCCACAGCGGGGATCCTCCTTTAGCCGGACGTAGTTGTAATGTTCGCCGTTGTGATAAAAGCTGCAAACAGTGCAGGAACCACAACCAATCAATTAGTGTAAATCTCAGTGATGGTATGACAACATGGACGAATTGTTCACATTCTTAAACACCCCTAATTAGCGATTGGAAGCATTGTAGACATCATCTTGTAATCACTTTATATAAAAATTTTACACATAATGGCCCTTTCATACTACCCGAGGCACTTACAGATGGACCATGTGGATTTCATCCTCTTTGTAATTCCGTATGTACAATGGCGGGTGCTTAGCCTGCAGCAAAGAACCACGCAGGCTTGTCACCCACATTCACTGTCTATAAACAATGTATCTACACTATTTTGCTATGACAATGATATGGCTAGTTATTAACACATGTTAAAGTTTCCATCCACTATCACTAAGAATATTTCAGTACAATTGAAACAATAGGTAAAACGTCGTCACAATAAAACCAACCAAGGAAAAAAACCTACAGTGTGGATACATATATTGCATCGAGTGACCAGCGATGCTGCTTCCAGCTCAAGGTGCCCCCCTTCAACTGCCATCTTTTTCCATCTCTTCACAGTATTTGTTATAGCATATCGAATCTTCCACAAACAGACTGAATTGTTCCTCTTTCTTCTAAAAGCGAGAGCCAGTTTTGAAGTTAAAGCGATGGGCGTACGCGAAACCAATTCTATTCTTGTCGATTGTGTTCACATGATAGTAATACCATCAATATTACCAAGGACCATAAAAAAGTGTAAATATCATGGCAACGATAACGACAACTATCATAAGAGAAACACAATAGCCAATGATTGTTCACCACAAGGCAGAGAAACACCTTATCCTTTGACAAAGTCATGACCCCACACTCAAACGAAATAAAAATCTATTCACCTTAAGACACACAACGACCATATGTCTAAACTTCATATGCTCACAGTCGGTTCCTTCGACTTGATAAGCCAATGACCTAGAATGCAAGGTCATAGATAGTTGATTCAACATATTATTTCAATAGCAGTAGCACAAGTAGATTTGAGCCAACGTGAATACCTAAACAAGCAATTTCCGTCTCCTGGGATCCGAATAATCTTTAAACCCATTTATGCTAGCTGTCTCTGCAGCTCATACCCACCATCACCTTCCTCTACAACCTGCCAATATTGAATTGAAGATGATGTAAAAGGAACATTTGGCGAGACAATCTGAAAATTCATCTACAATTTGAATACAAGGCTTTATAAATCCGTTAAATGATTATCTTACCTTATTCACAGCGGGTACCTATTGCAATTAGACGTTTTAGCGACTTTGCAGTAGACATAGTTATCCAAAGTCATGTGTTTATACAGTCACATTTCATAACTTTATACAAAATGTAGCAGTTAAAGCAATATCATTACAAGTAATTGGTTTAACTTGTACTCTTCTATAGACTTCATACGTATTCAACAAACACTTTCACAAATCTATGATACCTCAATGACATTCGGGGCGCCTTCTGGAACGTTGTTTGCATAGGTAGTGGTAAGGTTGACAGTGCCCCGGCCATATATAAGAAACCTTGTAAGCATACATTAGTGCACCAAGTTACCATGCGCATTTGAAAGGACACCATACCTGAGGCTTTTTTCTTTTCTTGAAAGTAATGAGCGCTGCGTCGAAATTATCTGTATCATTTGAGGAGGTTGTTCCAAACAGGATCAGCATAAACTGTACAAAGGCGCTGTAAGACTGCTAGAAACATATTAAGGGTTGAGTACCTTGCACATCAAACGCCGCCTCTTCAATAGCTCCTCTCCGGGGCAATAAGCAAAGGTTCTTTTCGGAAGTGAACAAGATCCTTTGAGTTAAGATACTTCATTTTAACTCCTTCTCTCGGAGGCAATGCAGGCTGATTAGGCAGAGCAACAACAACTTTGGTATGGAGCATAATACTTCCCACATTTGCAGGCGGTTGGATTCCCCCAGCTTTCGGGAACAAGATGGCCAGACAGTCCTCGACCGCCTTTCCTTTTCCGCTCCACAAAGAACCCCACCAGCGGTCAAATCCTTCGAGAGATCTCGGCGCTGGGGTGAATGGAATGTAGTTGTTGTTAAATAAGTAGCCATCAATCTCACGGATATAAAATTGGACCGAGCTTTCTCCTAGCCTCCCATCTTCAGCTAGTTCTATCATATTCGGCGAGGCAACCACCTGGGGAATTCCTTGACAATATCCCAGTTGCGGTGCAGTAAGGTGGAGCTGATATGGAATAGAGCGGAAGACAACGTTCCTACTTACAATCAAGGGAATGGGAAATATCGATCTTGGCTTTAATGCCGAATCCCATGAAGCTTTAAAAGTCGGGTGAGGCAACACCTCCGGCGTCTCGTAGGGGAATGGATACGCCGGCGGACACCACAGTGGCTGATGCAACAAATGCGGGTACCGTGTATACAGGTAAAATTGTTTAGAAGGCCGGCGATAGCCCAAAATCGCTTTGACTGTCTCCGCAACCGGCAGCTTGACTCTAGACGAGGCAGAGAGACACAAGAGAAAGGGGGCTAGCATTTGTGTATCATCAACCCGAATTGGTGGGAGGCCATAGAAACAATCCGAAAAATACAACCTAAACCACAGTTCCAACCACCAAAAAGGACCAGAGGAACACGTATCCATCTATAGCCCTTCGCAAAGCTTGTGCCTAGTTTTTGCTAGGCCTTCATACAGATTCGCCAAGAACAGAGTTCCCAATGAAAAGTAACTCCCTGATACAATGTGGATAGCCAAATTCAAGTACATATGTGATATGCATTTCGAGGATGAGCAGATGATATACCTGTTTAGCCAATACAGAATAAATGCAACATGCTCGGATTGTGAAACAACAGATTTGCCTTTTTTGTAATGCCTCTCGATGAAATTATTTCACGCCCCCACCTTCGACTTAATCTTGTGGCCCACATGATCCTTCGGGGGAGCGTTGATTTCCAACGAGCCCAGGACATGGTCCTCTCCCACAATAGGTAAATTCGCCAACATCCCTACATCTAGTAGTGTGGGAGCCAAGGGCCCACTAGATAGAACAAACACATTGTTCTCATGGTCCCAAAAAGTAGCCATCGCAGTTAAAATCCCTTCATTAACCTCGAACGCAAAAGTCGATATCAATATAGCCTTGTCTATTCCCTAGGCCTGCCACTGCGACCCATATACAGCAGCCACCCTCGAATACCACTCACTGTACTTCTTCATCGTCGGGGGGATAGTGGCAATGCCGTCGTGAATGCGGGCGGGATCAAATGACGGTGTGTTGAGCGTGATTAGAAAACGGGTAGAGAAAACGGGTTTCGAGCCTTGAGCTTCTTCCTCCGACTCGAAGAATGGCCTTAAGGTTGGTGTGGCATCCCGCGTCGAGACCAAAGGTGGTTCCGCGTCGCTCCCATTGAAGGGGATAACGCCGGCGATCATTCGAGAACCCATCGATCACTTTCCTTGTACGTCGGAGTTGTCACTGTGCAAAAAGCGGGAACTTTTTCTGACAAGGGTAAGGGTTTACTCTTCAATAGAATTGGGTAATGTGGTGCCCACGTGCTTCGTTAAACCTTATAAGTAGACCTGTATAACCCATGGAGCCACCAATGCAAGACGACCGATGGGCCTGCGACAATATTAAATTACATTTAATGTAGATCACAAAATGTTTAATAAAAAATTAAAAGTTAAATCTGCATCAATTAAAAACCAATGGGTTCTCTTGAATTTCATCGGTTAGCAGGTTTCCATAAAACATATTTATATATTTTTGTCTAAATATACATCTATATTACTCCCCCTGTCAAACGCACGCCATCGGCCATCCACAAAATCCGAAGGAATGAAGGAAGCACACGAGATGCATGTAACATACCATGGCTCCCGCCGACTTGTGACTACCGATGAGCCCCACCAAGGATGAGATGCAGCAAAATCGAGCCGAAGACTGACGAAATAACGCAAGATCGGTCACCGATGTATATCATTGGGCTTCCAAACAAATGGCTTTCATAATTATTTTTACAATCTAACGCATGACCTAAAAATAGGAAAACACAAACCATCGTAGCTTATCCTAGCCGTATTTACTGAGCGTACGCCCTCCCCAAAATTATATTAAGGACAATCATCGCAAAATCGGTCACCGATGTATATCATCGGCCTTTCAAACAAATTACTTTCATAATATTTTTAACAATCTAACGCATGCCCTTAAAATAGGAATACACCAACAATCATACATTATCATAGCCTTCTTTTCTTAGTGAACCTTCTCCCCAAAATTATAGCAGCAACAATCCTCATTTGCTCATGCACCAGTTCTCTCACCACTTTCCCCATCGGCGATTTTAATTTATGTATGCACCAATTACTCCAAACACAACGCCACTAAAACAATTTTTCCTGAATCGGTGCTACGAGGTAACCGACGCAACCTAATCTACTCCTATAAAATATTACTACATGGTTATCTTCACATCCATGCTTGTTAATCGACATACACATTTCTGTTGAATCCAACTCAACTCAAGAATATGGATAGCACCAATAAGTTGGCATCTGGACTACTTTGCTCATCATCCTACACCACAATGAACTCCCAACACATCACCACACCACACTTCTTACTACATGCTTCTTAATCGACATACACATTTCCGTTGAATCCAACTCAACTCAAGGATATGGACAGCACCAATAAGTTGGCATCTGGCCTACTTTGCTCATCATCCTACACCACAATGAACTCCCAACACATCACCACACCACACTTCTTACTACATGCTTCTTAATCGACATACACATTTCCGTTGAATCCAACTCAACTCAAGGATATGGACAGCACCAATAAGTTGGCGTCTGGCCTACTTTGCTCATCATCCTACACCACAATGAACTCCCAACACATCACCACACCACACTTCTTATTATTATTACCATGCAACCTCGTATTCCACACTTTACGCACCAGGTACAATTACACTACAACAATAAATATCATAATCAATTTCAACATACCACTTCGGATTAATTAAAGGGAAAATTGATCACCCTTACATATACTTCCCATTGCCCTCCCCCCCCCCCCCCCTTCTCCTTTGGTGATATTTCCTACTAGACACAATGCCAACATCTCCATCAGTCGTCACCAACAATTTTCACCAGTAATTTTCCCCTACTGCATACTATCAAGTTCTTAATCGATGGTCCTTCATTTTCTCTATCGGTGATAACTATAACATGTGCATCGATGAGTGAATTGCTTGTGAATTTAGGGTTTAGGTTTGAGACCATTATGAACACGTGGCATCACCTAGCCAATAATAAAAGTCCATATAATTTTTGGGTGGTTGTACCTAGTCTTTTTTTTTTTTTTTTTTTACGCAAATTCTCTTTGTACTCTATATTGTTTGTCATTTCTTATATTTTTTGTTTAATTAAATAAAAATAAATTATTCTCGACAAAATGATATCCATATTGATATATTTTTATTAATATTTTCACGTCCAAATCTATCTACTTCACTTAAAACGACCATAATAACATTTACTTTAAATTATAATGTATAGGGTAATGTGTGTACAATTTCTAAATGGAAATTACAGAAACGACCTTCCCAAATCGGTTAAAAACTCATATTTATCAATAGTACAAAATATAAGGAAAATGACAATTTAGGACATCAAAAACATATATTTTTACAACCTAACACAACAAAGATAATACACTCATAATAAAAAAAATAAAAAAGGGGTACAAAAATCAGATCATGTAGGCATCCGTACCGCAAGTCATATATATGACTTTGATATATATATATAACAAAACGCCAATTCGGCACTCTAATTTGTCCCATATATAAATACACATGCTTTAACATTCTTTCATCACACTTTACAAAATAACTTATAATGTTTAATAAAAAATTATGTATATAAATATAAAGAACACATTATTATTAATATTTAGTGAGCAAAAATATATATATATATACCAACGTGTAATTAATACTCTTTATGTCCGTCAAATTTATTCTCACTTTCATTTTTAGTTTGTTCATTAAATTTATCCGATTATTAATTTTGGCAAAGTCAACAAATCAACATTTAATTATTACCCTCCATTCAACACTTATTTACAACAAATACCACTAATTTTATTACATTTTCTTTCTTTATTTACTTTACTTTTTAACTAAATTTTCAAAAATACCCTCAACTATGTATCACTTTTTTAATAAAATATTTATTTTTTTAATTCCGGAAACCCAAATGAACTAATTTTAATGGATTGAGAGAATAGTATCTATTTAGCCAATTAATTAGAATATTTAGACGTATATAGATACAATATGACATTAACTACATCAAAAAATGAAGTAGCACATGTGTAGCGTTGAATCACTGAATATATGTGAATTTACTCAATTACCTAATAAAATCTAATCCAATTGCATTTTCATGTGTATGACCAAATTGTTGTGATTTAAATTGTTGCATCATCACCCTAAATGCAATCTCAATACTTTATTTTCTTTTTATTTTTTGTTTTTGTTTTAATAATGGTTAAATGTGATATCTTACCAGAGAAATTGAAATATTTCATTAAAAAATATGAAAATTGTATAATAAATAAAAATACTTATAACTTTTGAAATACTTCAATATATTTTAATTTATTTTAATTCAAATATTTATTGTATTGGTATCTCACTATTACCTAAAACATAAATTATTCTAAACAATCTGATCAAAAAATAAATATATTAATCTAAATAGTAAAATAGAACTTTCAATTACAATCACAATCGACAACCAAACACTTGTTCTTTTGCCATTGTTAATGCATAGAATAAAAGATTTTAGAGTCCCGTAAGGGATATGGTCTGTTGTTGGTGTAGGAGTTGAACTTATGACTTGTTACGGAAATTCTTAGGAAATCAAGATGAAATAACAAAGACAAAAGAACACAAGAATTTGGTAACCCAGTTCGATCACAAAGATTTACGTCTAGGGGCGCTGTCAAGCCAAGAATTTTACTATAAAGTACGCAGTCACATGTTAAAGTGAGAATACATGGATATTTATACCCTAAACCTTGACGATAATAGATAATATTTAAATCATATCTCTAAAATCTAAAATATAATTTCCAAATCATATTCCTAGATTTTAGGATATAATCAGGCTTCATATCCCAACATGACCAAAAAATAAAAGATTTTAGCTCTTGTAAACGTATGGGTGTATTTAATTTTGATTTGAAATAGATTTTGATTTCAAATTTGCTTTAAATAGTCTTCTGCCGTAATACTTTATAAAATATATTTTGATTGCGAATCATATGAAGTAAAGAGTGTAAAATATAGTTTGAAATAAAAATAAACAAACCCGTAAATTTTTCCCAAACTAGATAACCATCCAATAGATAAGGGTTAGGGCCATGCTGAAACCAACACATGCTTTCTACTAATACAACATGTTATACTTTAGAAATATGTTGTATTAATATATCTCATATAATGAAATTAATGAGTATATTTTGTATGAATTATTATCGTTAGTTTATTTATTTTATTAATAATATATTATTAAATAATATATTACTGTTATATTATTGAATTTTATAATGAATTATTGTTATATATTATCAATTTATTTATTATATTTATACTATACACTATAAAATATGACTTGTGGTTTTAGCCATCTCCAATCATATATTCCATTTTTACAGTTTTATATTATTTTATACTAAAAAGTATATTTTCAATATATTTTTCTTTTATATTACTTTATACTACTTTTCATATTTATACATACATCCTTATTTTAATTTATTTTTACATTATAATTCATACATATATCACTTTTTAAAAGTAAAATTATATATTATTTACAAAAAATATTATATATCATTTTCCAAAAAGTAAAATTATATATCACTTCTAAAAAAATAAAATTACATATCTTTTTAAAATATTAAATTATATATCATTTTATAAAAAAATAACAAAAATACACAATACACCGTAAAAGCTCCACTCCAAAAATAGAGTGAAAGAACAGTATTATTCCATAAATGAAGTAACACTGTACATAACCCCAATTTTTGCACAACCCACTGAAAAAATGCAGTGAATTGAAGTTGATCATGTTTATCCCCACTTTTCACTATAACGGCTGCTCTTACTATAATATATTTTGTTTGATTAATTTTGGCAATTCCAAAACTAATGGAAAATTTTCATATATCATATTGGACTTAACTTTTGTATCCAAAATTTATACAACTTTTTTTATTAGCAAAACAATAAAAATAAAAAGGAAATGTTAATCAAGCAGTGAATCCAAATGAAATGGAAAATTCTAAGCTTTCCCCAAGTATACATGTTTTGAACTTTTGTTATTATTCAAAAAAATTTCAAAAGAATTATATTAAATATATATTTTTACGACATCAAATACTAAAGTTTTACTACTTTTAAATGTTTAGTACTTTCGAAGATTTCCAAAAGCTCTTGAAAACGTCTATATAGCTTTATTCACACTCCCAAGAAAGGAATTAGTGATTAGCAACGTGAATTTACCTCATTTTTGCACAGCTTTATTACAGAAATCAAAATATTGTCTCCAACTAAACTCCTTAGTCTTGTAATCAGCTGAGACCTCCCAATCTTGTTTTCCTGTCACAAAATCAACCAACAAAATCACTGCAAGAATCAAATGAACAAATTCTTGAGCCTGGATATCAGAAAGTCCCCGAAATCGCTTACCCGGAAATCCTTGTAATAGTTCCGAATCAAGCTCATTTTCGAGGGATCTAGAAACCGAGACAGCACATTCAACAGTATCGAGAACTTCATACTCGAGGAACTCACTTCCTTGGCTAAATAAGGAGATATAAACAATGAGCATATTCATATATATATATATATGTATGTGTAATATGATCGAATCTTGATCGAAATGAATGGACAAAATACCTATTAATGAGGGAGAGGTGAAGCTGACGATGTAATTGGGGAAGATGTGGGAGTTCATATAGGTGCTCCAAATGATGTACATTGTTGGCGCCAAAGGGCTGTCGACTCCAGAGTCAAAATGGATGGAAGTCGGCTGGGATTGATGTGAACCTGGACAGATTGTTTCTGTGTTTCCTAATATTACTCGACATAGCAGCATGTGCCTTACTCCAGCTCCGTCTTCCTCTGCCTTTAACGCGCTGCGTTGATGATCATCATTCGATCGGGGAGGAGTTAGTTGAAAATTAACCAGTTTCAGAAAGAAATAACAAAAATGTAAAACATGAAATCCATTACAACAATTGCACATAATCCTGAAAACTAGCAGTAATTTAGCACTCGAGATTAGAGTATGGTGAGAGTTTACGGTGGAGGGTAGTGTTCTGATTTGACCAAATCAGTAAATTAACAAGACATAATTAGCAAGTCATCACACAACGGTTAGCATATTATCAAGTTAGCACATTAATTTAAAACAATTAACAAATCGTCACAAGAAATATGGCATATACTATATTATATAATATATTATATTATTTGTTATTTTCTTTATCAACATTTGTTGATTGGATTAAATTATATTATGCTGAATTCATAATATAATTTGCTAAAATCAAGACATATTTTGCTACGTATATAAGTGTATAAGTATATAATATACTATTCAAATATGTGTTATATATTATATCAATATTTATTATTATTTTTTTATAGACATTTGCTAATGGATCAAATCAACATCATCCTGATCTGACCCAATCAACACGATAACCGGAACGAGAGTTTAACAATCTCTATGATCGAAAGCATTAAATTGAAATCAAATATAGAAATTTGAATATATATTAGAGGATTTCAAAATTGCATATTATTAATAATAAAATCAGGATCCATGAATAGCATGAAACTCAAATATAAACAACCTAATATTTTTCCTCAAACTCAAATAATGTCACAGAAACAATTCACTTCATTTAAAAAGATCAAAGATGATTTAGTTAAAATCATCTACTAACATACCCAAAATTGTCAAACAAGTCAAAATCATAAGCTAACGCTCTCAACTAAATTAAACTTGAAAACGAAAATCTCTTACAATGGAGTTAGAATCAAAAACAAAATTCGCTCACAATATTGTTAGAATGAAAAACAAAATTCGCTCAGAAAAAGTTAGGATTGAAAACAGAGTTAAGAGTGCAGGACTCATTCACAGTATTGTTAGAATAAAAAATAAGATTAGTTCACAATCAAGTTAGAGTAAAAAAATAGGACTCACTCAGTTGGAGTTAGAGGTGGAAAAATATCTCGCTAACAACGAAGCTAAAGTCGAAAGAAAGACTATGAACTGAACTACGCAAATTATAGAAGGCCTAATATAAACAGTATCGAAAGTGAAAAGAAAATTCCACAAAAAATAAGTTTAACAGATAGGCAACTGACATTTCATAATAAAAAAAATGTGTGTTTCCTTGTAAGATTTTGATTTTGGATTTTGGTTTTGAATAGTAAAATTTTGAATTGAAATAGTTGATTGATGTGAAATAAATATGTATTGATGTGATGTTTTGAATGTAAAGTTGATTTTAGTGTAATATAATTAATAAATAATTAGGTGATTGAATTGATGTTTTTGGAGATAAAAAAAAGTTGAAATAGTAAAATCGAAAATCAAATCTCACGAGTAATACGTTCTAGGTTGAATATATTGGAGAATGTGGCTTGATATCATATTCTATTTTGCAAAATTAAGAGTTTTTGTATTATTAGAAGTAAAATGGGGTTCATAAATAGGCCTAACTCATACTACTCAAATAATAATTTCTAAAAATTTTAAATTTTCAAAAGTCTAAATCTAAATAGAGAATAAGTCATTGGCGAATTTTATCAAACAGTTGGTATGCAATGCAAGCATAATAACGTCGCATAAATTCAGAAAGTTCTTAATCTCGAGTTCAAACATCAAATCAGGAATATCCACTCCAATTTCATAACAGAATTCGATCATAGTAGCAAAATCAGCAATAGATAATGGATCATAGTTGAATTTAGCCCGGTACCTCGGAGCAGGAAGAGCTGCCGGGGAGAGATGGATTCCAAATCCGTACGGCGAATCCTTGTCCAATCTCCCGAATCCATGGACCACAATGTCGCGAATCTCATCCCGACGCCCGCCGTACCATCCGAACTTCACATTAGCGTCGCCGCCGCGCTTCTCCGCCGTCGCGCGGGTGAAAGCTCGGAACGCTTCCAATTTCGCCTTTCCGGCGACACTCGAGTACGGATTTTTGTGTACGGCGACCAAATTAACATCCTCCCCAAGCGATCTCATGCCATTAACGAAATTCCTCTTAATTACCGCGTATTCGTTGCTCCGTCCGTCGTCTTCCTCCAGCCTCACCATTCCGCTCGCCGTGAAATCCATCGATTGTGCAGATGATTCCGCAGGCGGCGACTCTCCGTCGTCGGAATCGCAGCCTGTTGCTGTATCGTAATCGTTAACTGAAATTGAAACCTGATCGCGCTCCATGTCGATGTCCATATCCGTAATTTGGAAGCAGGAAGCAGAAATGGTACATGTATGATGTTCTAGATGAACCTTTGGGGCGCAGGAAAAGACACGTCTGCAAAACGTAAGGGCGAAGAAACGGAGGCACATGGGAATGGCATGGCGGTTAAGAGATGCGAAGGGAGCAGATAACGTGCCGCCGACGTCAGCCGCCATGCCGGAAGGTTATAGGCATGACTTCTTGTCGTTTATTTCGGCGGGAATTAATTATTTAATTATATTTTAGAATACAATATAAGCTTACATGTTTATTTAATTATTTTTCAAATATTTAAAATTATATACTTTAAACTTTGAAGTATTTTATTTAATTCATATTTTTTATAAAAAATATAATGCCGTCGTCGTGCCAAACTTATTTTTCTCCTTACTTTGATTCTTTTCTTGTCAAAATTCTTTTTTATTTTTGACAAACTTAATAACCTTAAATATTCTTAATAAATATATAAATAAATTTGATTATATTTCAAATATTTAGATATCAAACTTATCAAAATTATGTTATTTCTATTTTTTTTAATAAATAAATATTTTTATTTAGATTTAAAACCTAAATTAATTTATATTAATCATAGATATATAAAATATATTTTTTAAATTTATTTCATAATTCTCTCCTTGTTTACTCACAAATTGAATATATTTCTAGTTTGTTCAATTATAAAATAATTATTTAAAAAATATCTTATTTTTTTTACCAATATTCTTATTTTAACATCACATCATTACTTACATTAAAAAATAAGAGCAAAATCATCTTTACATTATTTTTAATTATTCATTACAATAAATGTACTATTATTTCTTAAATTATGCATTAAAAATAAATGTATACTTATTAGTTTGACGAAGAAAATAAAAGTTTATTTTCTACGAAATGTTATTTATATTATATAGATTTTATTAAAATATAATGTTAAAGAAAATAATAACATAATATCATAATTACTATAATTAATATACTAAATAAGATTACTTTAAATACTTTTTGACTAACCAAATGAATCATCTTCTATGGACCAAAGGAGTATATGTTTAATGAATATTTGTAATATTAAAATTTGATATAAAGACCAAAAAAAAAAGGTGTCAAACAGTAATATTAATATTTAGGGTATTTTCTTCCATTTTTTTTTTCTAATATATTTTTTTATTAATATAATAAAAAAATTAATATTTATATATTTACATAAAATATTATTTTTTATATTACTAACACGCTTTTATATACTTAATATAAAATATACATCATTTAATTTTGTATTCATTCACTTATAACCATCATATTCTATGCCCTTTGTTTGTACATTCATTTTTATTGTCTTTTTGAATGTCTTGTTAATGACGGTAGTCCATAATTTTCAAGTCGAATAGTCAACCTTCATCATAGCTCACCGACTTCTTGTTTTATGGCTTTTTTTATTGACTCTAATTTTTTTCTCACTTCTTCATCATAGCTCTGATACCAGATGTTGGGATAGTGATTTATCGAACAAAACACATTCGAACACTTTAAAGGGCCAACTCTCGAAGCGTGGACAGTTCACAGTTATAACTACGTTTCAACAACGAAAAACAATGCAGAACATAAAACAACAATAAGACAAGGTGTTTGTTGACCCGGTTCGATTATCAACCAATCTACATCCAGGGGATACCAATCCAGGAGGAATTCTACTAACCAGTGCTGATTAAGTACACAAACAACCACAACTCATTCAACTCTAATGCTAGTCATAACTAACCCAGGAAAATACCTCCTAAGGTTCTCGTTGCTACAACCTCGTACTAACAACGACCACTTCATCAGAGATTTGGTGGAGAGGGGGATCTGTGATTTACAACATGTTGGAACACTTGAGCAGAAGGCGGATATATTTACAAAAAGTCTCGACGGCGATCGGTTTGAACAACTTCGAAGAGACCTTGGTATGTGCTTCTGCCCTAACTGATCTGCATGCATGGGCTTGATAAATTCTCCAATATATTTATATTGATTGGGATATTCTTGGTGAATATTGGAGAATGAAAATAATTTGAAAAGATTCTTTTGAAAAATCCAAAAAGAAGAAGTGTTGCGAAGAGACTTTTATTGAGCAATGGCAAGAGTCGGATTTGATGCCATGGTTGATGTTTTGGTTATGGATTGATTCGACGTGGAGGACATTTCAGTCCTACACTGGATTTTGAAAATTTTCTAGGCCTTGTGTTGTTGCACAAACCATTGTTGATGCTGCGAAGTTGCTGCTACAACAAATCTGATGTCGAATCAACCGGAGTTGCTGTTGTTGTTTATGTTGGTGCTGCAACTGATGTTGATGTTGTTGCTGCAAGCATTTTTCAGCGGACCAAATGAGAAGGAATTCGTGAAAATGGAACAAGTGAAATTGTTTGTGAAACAACTGAAATTCTTGATGATATTGTTGGAACAGTTGCTGGTGACGGTGATGAAGTTGCTACTGCAACCATTTCTCAGCAAATTGAAGGTACTTGTTCTTTTTGTCAAATGCTCCCACGAAGGGGGAGTAATGCAGGAAAATGGGAGATCATATTTTCAAGGGGAGTTACCCAAGTTCTGATGTTGTCTGCTTTGCTGATTGTTGATTTTATCTATTGTTACTATTTCCGTTGGAAGTCCGAAGTGATAACAACCATATCATTGTGAAGGCTGTCTGTAGCCTTTTTATGTTTGTTGGCATGTAATAGTTGGACTCACTCTTGGATGATTGAGTGCGTGAGTAGGTTAATTCCTGCACTTTTATTCGTGGTTTCATATGCCAAAAAGGGGGAGAATGTGAATGGAAATTCCCCTAAGTTATTTTGGCATATGAACTAATGGTGTCTTAATTTATGCAGTAAAGACTTTCCAAAAGACAAAATACATATTGAAGGAAAGATCAAAATATGGAAACTCACTCCTTCCATTACAGTGCAAAGGAAAATTAGTGTGGAATCTTTTATTCCAGGAATGTGAGTGATTTACTCAACTGGATAGGGTTGAAGATTGGTAATGTGTGATTTGGAGATCATACTTTAGAGAGAAGAATACTGAGTGAAGCTTTCATCCATCTATCCATATCGATTCTCTTTAGTTTTGAATGAGTTTTTGACAAGAAAAATTCGCCGGAGAGGTCGAAGGTGTTCGGAATTAATGGAGTTCCAACCGGAGGGAATGATCAAGCTCTGGAATTCTCTGATGTGTGGTCGTTGTTAGTACGAGGTTGTAGCAACGAGAACCTTAGGAGGTATTTTCCTGGGTTAGCCATGACTAGCATTAGAGTTGAATGAGTTGTGGTTGTTTGTGTCTTTAATCAGCACTGGTTAGTGGAATTCCTCCTGGATTGGTATCCCCCGGATGTAGATTGGTTGATAATCGAACCGGGTCAACAAACACCTTGTCTTATTGTTGTTTTATGTTCTGCATTGTTTTTCGTTGTTGAAACGTAGTTATAACTGTGAACCGTCCACGCTTCGGGAGTTGGCCCTTTAAAGTGTTCGAATGTGTTTTGTTCGATAAATCACTATCCTAACATTCTTCAATCATAATCATTCCAAACATTTTGGCGGCATCAACATGTCAAACTAAAAATTTAGAACTAATATGTATTAAATTTTTAGTTGTAAACACTCAGGGTGTGTTTGTTTGTTGGTTTGAGATTTTGGGTTTGGATTTATGAATAGTAAAAAACTGGATTTGAATAGTTGTTTATGTGATATAAATAGATGTTGATGTGATATTTTGAGTGTAAAATAAATTTATAATATAATATAAAAAAGAAAAATAATTGTTTGATTTTAAATTTTTTGAAAAAAAAAGAAGAATCTAAATAGTAAAAACTTGTGTTAAAATTCACAAAAGAACACAACCTCAAGAACTTATCAAAATCCATTTTTTCACTTGATCATTTCGACAAAAAATTCTCCCTTGTTGGCGGTTGATTTGTGGGCACGAAAAAGTTTTCAACTTCACCTTTTGGACATATAAGTTGCTGAGATACCAAACCGAGTCGTTGCTTTCCATTCTTTTCAATCAATGTGGTTTTGGGCCACTCAATTGCTAAAAGAAAATAGGTTTTTCTTTTGCTTATTTTTTTTTCAGCGACATGGCATTCACACCTGCCATAAATGAACCATTGTTTACCTTCATGTCTTACTCTTTTGGTTCAACAAAATCTTCATCAATAATGATGATGAAAGGCTTATCAACCAACTTAAATTTATCAGCATCTTGTCTTTCATTTCTCATACTCTCGGTCCAAATGGCACAAGATAGTAGTTGTTGTTATTCACTGAATACTTACAAGAACAAAATTTTCTTCATTTGCCAACGGAAGATTTAAATGTGGGGTTGGGGCAGTAGCCCACCCAACCCCTAATTTTTATTTTCTTCAATATAAAAATAAAATTTTTATATGATTATGCTAATTTTTCCTGCCTCCGGCCTGCAAATCTTATTGTTTATAGTTTTTTTATGTTCCTATTTTTTTTATTCTAACCTACTTTGCTAAGGAGAATTGAAGAAAGGGGTGTTGGATGGGTAAAAGTGGACTGATGTAAAGCCGCTCTAGAGTTCGAGGGCATGTTCCGCCACTGTTTGCAGATGCATATATTTTACTACTATATGTGTCATTTGAGTATTCAAAATTTGTGCATTACAATGACTTTTCATTTGTTAATAGTACATAATATAGAATTTGTGCATTACAATGACTTTTCATTTGTTAATAGTACATAATATACTCGGCTACCAATTCATCAATTTTTTGCTTTGCATTCATTAAATTGAGTAGTATAATTTAAATTGGCAAGTTATAAAAAGGACAAAAAATACTCTTTTTCATATCTTATCATTATTGTATGGAGTTTAGTGGTAACGCCAAATACTAATTGAATATTGTTCCAATCATTGGCAGAAAAAATATTTGAAATTTATGTCAATCAGTATATCCTACTTATTCACATTATGCAATAAAATGGCTCACATGTTCAATACTCAAGTACAATGATGGATCCATTCAATCAAAGTGGGGTCACAGACCCCATATGATATTTATATATACATATATTAATTTAATTTAATTTAAGTATCCAAAAACAAA